AAAAGAAACTCAAAACAGTCACATATCCACCGGCCTCTCACCACCTTGGCATCACATATAAAAATAACCATTAAAATAATAAAAAAAGAAACATAAACAAAAAAGAAGTGATGTGTTCCCACAGAGTCGGGGACAACCAGAGACAAGGAGACAGTGTGTGTGTGTGTGTGTGTGTTTGTATGTGTGTGTTTGTGTGTATTAGTGTGTGTGAGACAGGTAGCAGCATCCTCCACTGGTTCATGTTCAGGAATAAGGCACCGCTGCATTACTGGAAAGGACATGGCACTTTCTCTCTCTCTCACTTTAACTCTATGTCTCTCTGTCTCTCTTTCTTTTCCTTATCCCTACATCTCACTCTGTCCCCTTTTTCTATTTCACTTTTGTTTTTGTTATTTAATATACTTCTGGTGTACATACCCACTTCAGATTTATACGGATGATGTCTTTAGACTTTGTACTGACAGTCAAAAGTGGGCAAAAGTTTTGGCGCCCCCAGTGAAATGACATAAGTCATAAGTGTGTGTGTGTGTGTGTGTGTGTGTGTGTGTGTTTAAAATATAATGGAAATAGTGCACTAGAAAATAGAACGTTAAAAAAAAAAAAAAAGTTTGTTCCCTTCGGATGATGTGTTAAAGGGCCTGTATGGTGGAAAATCACATTCAAGGGAGAGTTTCAGCTCTAAGTGCTTTCTGAATCAGGCAAAATGCAGGACAGCCAAGCAGACTGGAGCTCTTATATCAGTTTTAAGGGCAATATAACAAAAGTGTATAAATATATTTAAAAGAGAAATTGATAAGGAGTATTCAGACAACACAAGTTCATAATAATAGTACTTTGTTGCAAAGTCACTGTGGGCAATTACACCTTCAAGACGTCCACGGTAAGAAGTAATTAGCTTATCGCAGCACTGTGATTCAGCTTTGGTCAAATGGCCTTCAATTCCCAAAGGTCCCTCTGACAAACTCGCAATTTAAAAATGGGAGTTAAGTGAAGAGATAGGCTAGGCCATGCAAGTACCTTAGCTAATTAGATTAAATTCTTCTCAAATATGGTCCACTTCATTGCTCCACTCATGCATCCTACAGTGACTTGTGAATGATCACCAGTACAGTTTGTAGAGAAGAAGCCTCTTATCACAATGCTCCCACCATCATGCTTCACTGTGGTTGTTCCTGGGATCATACATGCAGTTCTTATTTCTACAAATATGACAAGCTAAATTATTGCCAAAGAGTTTGAATTTGGTTTTGCCTGACCAGAATGCATTGTTCCAAATGAGTTCTAATTTTTCTAAATGCTTGTGTGCAAATTAGACATGCATCTCTGTGCTTCTCTTTAGCAGAAGAGCTTGGTGTGGCATGTAAATGATTGTGCTAACTGATGTTCCTGCTGTTTTCAGGTTGTTTTTCAACTTTTCTACAATCCTTGTCATTAATCTGAGAGAAATCTTCCATGATACACCTCTCTGGGTATGATTAGTTGTGCTTTCATGAACCTTTCACTTGCATGTTATCAAGCTAATATTGTGCTGATAGGGATGCTGAAGGTCTTTATTATGACTCTATAGCATTTTCCATTTCAATGTTTCATGTAGTAAAGTTTAATGTTATCCCTGAGAACTTTAGGAAGCTCCTTCACCTTCACAATGTTTGTTACACATTGTGTGAAATCTTCTCAAACAATGGCAACTTCTTTTTTAATGAGATTGGGTGCAATAGGCACAAGAATCTTTTCTTTGTATACATATATATATATATATATATATATATATATATACAGCCTTAATACTTCTTTTCCTTTCAATTTCATTTTCACAGATCTTATTTATGCTTATCAATACATGTTTTGTTCATATTTATAATTGGAAATTTGAAGTGGATATATGCTCTAGAAGTACATACATAACAAAATTAACTGAAGTGCCACATGCAGTAAGGTTGATGTTTAAAGAGACAAAACAACTTGAAATGGTTAGTCTGTAGTTTATATCGCAAGTTAGCTAGCCGCTAACTGCTAATCCTGTTAAAACTTTAGTAGTTTTATCATGATGTGATTTGACACTTACTAAAACTTCAGCTAGGTTAGCTGACACTGAGCTATAATAGCTTGTGTGCTACCTACTATACTACACACTAGCCAACACTTTCAAGTTGTTTTACCTCTTTTCTTTATTCAAGCTTTATTGAATCTTGGCTATGAGCTGCAGGTGAACAGCATTGTGGTAATGACTGCATCACTGTAGCAAGTCACAGATGCCAAGAATCAATAGATTCGTTCATTTACTGCATTTCCTTTCGGTGGTCCTAACTCAAGTGTGTTCATGTTCTTTTTCACAACTCTTCAACGTCAACATTAAGAACAAGTCGGAGTGACTGATTCCTGTCCCCATCACTGTCTTTCACTCTCTCTCTCCTAATCTCTATGTCTCTCTCTCTCCCTCCTGCCTCTCTTCATCTGTAAGTCTGTCTTTATCTCTCTCTATTGACGGCTTTATCTCTCTCCCACTTTCTGTTTTTCTGTCTTTCTCTCTCCATCTATCTTTCCCTCTCTTCATGTATCTCTCTCTTTCTCTCTCTGTCTTTCGTCGCTGTCCAGAGAAAAAGAAGCATCTCCAACGTGGTCAGTTTACAGGAGAGGGCAGAAACGTTCTTTACTTTGAATGTAAGTTAATGTGAAGAGATTTCATTCAAAGCAATTTTGGAGCATTTCTATTGGTTCAATCGTCATGTAATTTTGAGACAATGTAAAGGTCAATTATGTGCAAATGATGTAGAAAAAAGAAAAATGGAGATTTTTTTCCCCCCTTTGGACAGCGACAGTCCCCCGTTTTTAATATCTCTTTACCTCTGCCTTTATCTGTATGTCTCTCTCTCTCCCTCTCTGTCTCTCTCTCTGTATTGGACGGCAGGAGGAGGCAGAATGGAGCCACTGAACATGAATGAAACCTGGACAAAGACATATGAGATAAATTCTGTTTGTGTATGTTTGAAACAGTGTTTTCTGTATAATTCTACCTATCTGTGTACGCATATGTGTGTCTCAGAGTATGTGAGTGGTCCGAAGTGGGATCAGAACAGGGAGCGGAGCATCTTTTTTAGAAAGTCGTAGCATCTGTCCAGCAGGCTTATGCTGGACAATCCCACTGCTTCACTACACTCTTACTAAATCAGATTTTAATACCAAAAAAGGTTCTATGATAGATACAGTATCGAACCCCTTTTTCGTGCTACAGTCATATGCAAAAATTTGAAAAACCCCAGTCAAATTACATGTTGTGTTGATTTGTGGTGATTTGTTGATTGATGTGTTTACACAAACAAACAAAACAGTAGAGGTTCTCTGTAGAGGATGTGTTCACTTATGACCAAGGGTGCCCAAACTTTTGCATACAACTGTACAGAACAGTGAATCTTAGTCCTGGCGACCAAACACTGTTCATACACCTGATTGAACATTGGCTGGATCAGGCATGTAGAGTAGAGAAAACACAAGGATGTGCAGAGCAAGGGGTCACTAGCAGAGGGACAGGAGGCCTTCCTGTATAGAACCATTTTCAAAAAGGTTCTTTGAGTGTTTGTGGTTCTATAAATAGCCACTGTCTTCACTAAGAAACCATTTTTAATGGTGTTTTTAGGTTCTATAGTCATTACTCACAGTTAGTCTAGAATAGTCTATTTGCTATGTGGATGTAATTGTGTTAAAAAGTATGTGCTTTTGTTTACTCTTGGCAGTTTGGCTTGATTGACCAATCATTTCAAGACTATATACCTACAGACTTTCAAAATATTCAAACTTCAGTGCCAAAAAAGTTGAGACAGTATGCAAAACGCAAAAAAAACAGAACAAAGGCATTTCATATTTTACCTATACACTCACTCACTCATCATCTAAGCCGCTTATCCTCCTGGGATGCTGAAGTCTATCCCAGTGCACATTGGGTGGAAGGCAGAAAACACCCTGAACAGGTTGCCAATTCATTAGAGGGCAGACGCACACCTAGTGACAATGAGGAATCTGGCATAGACTTTTCCTTGAGGAAAAGTCTACGCCAGGTTCATGATATGTTCTTAGAATTGTTTGCACCTTTGTGCTTTTGAGTGTGTGTAGATTCTGTGCTTACCTACAGACAAATCCTGAATAAGAAAACATTGAATTGAATATCTGAATAGGATTTTAGGTATTTCGTCCTTAACAAACACTGTTCTCCAGGTAAAAGAAGAAAAAGACCATCCAGATTGTTACAAGTGTAACCCACGGTCTGTCATGTTATGAGGGAGTATTAGTAGGTAACTTAATCTGTGATGGCACCATAAACATGGAAAGGCATATACACCTCTTGGAGCAACCTATGCTGCCTTCTAGACAACGTCTTTTTCAAGGATGTCCATGCTTATTTTAAAAGCATGGCCACATAATCAGAGAGTGTGGGTGCTAGACTGGCCTTCTTGCAGTCTGGGTCTGTTTACTATTGAAAATGTGCTGTGCATTGTCAAGCATAAAATACTACAATGAAGGCCCTGTATGTTTGTGAAGCTGAATATTTGTATAACTGGAGAACAACAAAAAAAAAAAACTGCTTTCAAAATATTTTGTGTCTTCAGTCCCCAAAATGTGTGTTTCAGGCATCAAATTTGGAATTAATTTATGTTTACAAAAAGACAATTTAATGGTTTTGTGCTGTTTTCAGTGTAACATACATGAAAGAGAACTTATTAATCACTGGTTTGCATATAGTCCCAACTTCTTAGAAACTGAGGATTACATAATGTGAATGTATTTAAGTAAGAATGAAGGAGGAACACACTTCAAGTGGTAAGTGGCACTTACTGCCCCACTTCCTCCACTCACATACTCTGGTGCATCTGTGGGTGTGTATGTTCTGTTTGTTGTATGTGGGCATGTGTAAGAATCTGTGGGTACTGCATCATTTTGTCTGTGTGTGCCTGTAGTTTATGTGTGTTAGTTAATGTTCAGGCAGGTTTGTCCAATATCTCCACTGCTCACACGGTGCTCTCCAGCATCCACTCGGTGCTGCTGAAAGTGACCCTGCGGCTGGCGGGTGGCGAGGCGTCAGTGTTCAGGTTAGTGCTGGACTTGTGTCTGCGGGTCCGCGCCCTTCGGGGGTAGCTGTGACTCTGGAACAGGGCGTAATCGCCATCGAATGAGAAGCGGTGCCTGGTCCTGGCCAGTTCGCCCGGGAGCAGCCCCATTCCACCAAGTGCCCCCTTCCGGCTATCCCGGGCCCGTGGCGGGGGCACATCCTCGCCCACCTTGGAGCCGATCAGGCACAGGGACATGGTGGAGCCCGTCAGGCTGCTGTCCGTTTGGGTGTCCTCAGAAGGGGGGTTTCCCAAACTTGCCCGACGAGACCCTGGTGGTAATGGGACAGGCGCAGATGCAGATGGGATGGGTGCCTCTGGACTTAGTGGAGGCAGCTGCACCTTTAGCTCCTCTTGAGTTTCGTTTTCTAGGCTAAGAAGAACCAGGGCCTTGCAGTCTGTTCCGGCTTGGGACTCCCTTCGACGGGAGCGTTCGTCAACCCCCTGCTGCTGCTGCTTTGACCCAGAATGTCCTATGCGGTTCCCATTGGTCTGTGAATGACCGTGGATGTTAGCGCTAGAATTACTACCAGTGTTACCACTGGTGCCAGCCTTAGCCTTGGAGCTGTCGTAGGCCTTGTAGCGGATCATGAGGATGACGATGAAGACCAGAACAGAGGCCACGATGACTCCACCGATGATGATGATCATAGTGCCGCCAAGGAACTGGCTGTGGACGAAGCGGCACTGGCCAGCTTCAGGAGCTGTGCGGAAGTGGACACAGCCCACCACACGAGTGGCTGTCAGGGAGGTGATGCCATCATCATAAACAGCCAGGACGCACAGCTCATATTCGCGACCGGCCGCCAGGTCACTGATCCTGAACGTCTTACTCTCTGATGGGATCATCCTGAAACAGAGAGAAGGAGAAAGAGAATGAAAAAGAGAGGGAGGGTGGAGGGATATGTATAGAGTGATAGAAAGAAAAATGAGAAAGAGAGAAAGAAAAAGAGTTGAAGTGGCATGAAAAGAGAAAGGGGTAAAGCAATATGAAAAGAGAGATGGAGAGATAAACAAGAGAAATGAAAGGAAAGAGGTGGGGAGATATACATAGAGAGACAGAGATAAAGAGGAAGCGGTGGGAAGATGTGCATAAAGAGATGTATAGACAGAAAGAGAGATAGAAAGGAAAGAGAGCGAGAGAATCAGAGATAGAAAGAGGAAGAGATATGATGAGAGAAAAAAGGGACAGAAAGATGTGATATGAACAGAGAGATAAACAGAAAGGGAAAGAAAGAGAAATGAGCAGTGCAATATGAATGGAGAGATCGAGGGGGAAAAGAAAGAAATGGCGTGATGTGAATGGAGAGAAAGAGAGAAACCAGAGATAGGGTTGCGATGGTATGAATAGAGGGATCGAAAAAAGAGAGAGAGAGACAATCAGAGAGATGAAGAGGTGGAATGATGTAAACAAAGACAGAAATAAGATAAATGAAAGAAAGAGAAAAATGAAGCAGAAGGAAAGGTGGAGTGACATAAGAGACAGGAGGAAAAAAGAAGGAGAGAAAGAGATGGGGGGATATGAAAAGAGAGAGGGAGAGAAAAGAGAAAGAGAGATGGGTGGGATGGTATGAACAAAGAAAGAGAGAGAGAAAGAAAGGGGTGAAATGGTAGAAAGATACAGAAAGAAAGAGAAAAAAAGAGAAACAGATACAAAGGGAAACAAAGAAGTAAACACAGAGAGAGAGATAATCAAAATGAATAGAGAGAGACAGAGTGAGTTAGATGCAGATACATAAAGAAAGGATTGAAATGAGAGGGAAAAAAAGACATAATGAAAAAGAGAGTGGGTGATATGAGTAGAGAGATAAAGATGAACAGCGAGAGTCGAGAGGAGAGAGACAAACAGAGAAAAGGGGGTAGAGTGAAATGAATACAGAGCAGAGAGAAAAACAAATAGAAAGAGAAATGGAGCGAGACAGAGAGAAAGAGAGAGATAGAGAGAGAGAAACAAACAGAGAGGAAGCAAGGGTAAAAAAAAAAACTAACAAACCAGACAAAGCACTCTTTTTGTTGGTTTTATTTGGGCTTAAGCTGAGTCTCTTAATACTTCTGACTAGATAGCTGAAGTGGTTCACGGTGTCATGGGATTATAATCTGATATAATCTAAATTTTGTTCTATATAGCCTGAAATTTACAGGCCAATTTTAGTACTATAACAAATAATGCTTTCAAATAATATAATAAAAATATACAATAATACACAATATGCATGTTCTGCAGTTGTAAATTAGGGTCTAACCCTGATTACGGTGATTCTGTTCCTGATTAGTTTTTTAAACACTTCAAGACTCTTGTTTGATTTTGTCCCTGGCAGCAGATGGATGTTAATTATGGCTGTAACTTGATTTTAAATAAGATTCCAATCCACTGTTTTGAAAACTAGGTTGGCTACTCAGGCATGGTTTTAGAATGGTTCAAATCATATTTATTGAATAGACAATTCTTAGGAAAGCATTCATCAAAAAACCATAAGATTTATTGTGGAGTCCCACAAGGTTAAATTTTAGGGCCTTTGCTTTTCTCTTTGTACATGTTGCCACTGGGCTTTGCCTTTGGGGAAATGTCCTATTCTGGTAAATGTAGAAAAAGGCCCTTGTTCTGACCTTCATGAGCTGTGGTACTCATCCTCCGACTAGAACAATGTGGGATAGCAAGTTAATCCACCGTTTTGAAAACTAGGTTGGACTCTCAGGCATGGTTTTAGAATGGCTCAAATCATATTTATTGAATAGACAATTCTTGGGAAACCATTCATGATAAAATTGTAAAATTTCTTGTGGAGTCCCTCAAGGTTCAATTTTAGAGCCTTTGCTTTTCTCTTTGTACATCTTACTGCTACGCAATGTCTTTGGGAAATGTTCTATTCTGGTTAGTGTAGAAAAAAGGCCCTTGCTCTGACCTTCATGGGCTGTGGTACTCATCCTCTGACTGGAACAATGTGGGACAGCAAGTTAATCCCTACAGTGGAGGTCAGAGGGTCACGCTGAGAAATGACCACGTCAGCGTGAGCGATGTCCTCATGATCAGAGGTCAGAAGCTGAAACCAGGGAGGGATTTAAACAGAGCTCCTATTCTCAAGGACTAAGGAACATGTTCCGTCACTGACTCGGGAACGACACTTCCGCAGGAGAGGAGGAAAAAACGCCTGGAGCAATGTTATGGCTTAAACGTGACAAAATTATAAAATATTTAGGATTTTTTTTCACTTCCAAGCTGTGAAATGCCAAGGAAGCAAGTTCTGTGATGTACAGAATGCAAACTGTCAAAAATAAAGATGCTGTTCTCGTGACAGCAGCGGTCTGTATTTCACTCCTCTTCGGCAGAGTGGGTTGATTCTTAAATGGGGAGAGCCGGGATGGTTGGCACAGTTTTCATTCTCTGCCATATTTCTCAGGCAAATGATACATCAAGATAACCCAACTAGCAGTAAATGAAAGCTACAAAACAGAACCTTGTTGGGTTGGTTGGCACATTATTGGTATGTTTGGGACAACATTAAAAATCTATCAATTCAAATGAATGAAGCAACAAATAAAAATATGTTCTTCTCCTCATTCACTAGTCCATTGCTTGGCAGCAATACCATACCTTAAAGGAACAAAATTTCATAACTTAAATTATTTACTGAAAATTGTGTATTTTATCATATTTTATGTTGTCCGCCATTTCAGAAAAGCTCAAGGCCATGATTATTGTGATATTATTACAGAGAAGGAGAATTTAGGCACTCAGCTTCACGTTGTGCCTGAGAACATCCTTCCTCATGATAAAATCACAGTAATTGCTTGGCTCAAAGTTGCTTTATTTACAAGTATTGTATTTTCAGTTGTTTTATGTAGTATGCTATTTAATATGTTTGCAGTGCTTAAAACCTAATAACTTTAACATTTTGTAATGTATTTTTTGCTTCAACACAGAAAAATTAAGAACTTATCCCCAGCTTAACAGATTATAATATTTTTTTGCTATTTGCTATCAGCTTTTGATAAAATGGATAAACGATTGTCAAGAGCAGCACTCATTTTCATTTTTTTTCAGAGTTCCTCCTACTGGCTGGAAATTAACAGTGTGCCAGCCAACCCCAGCGCTAATAAACACTATAATCCCCTTAAGATGAATGAGGTAAATTAGTTGTTTTAAATTGAACGCGAAATCTGCCCATGCCAGGGTGCTTGGATCATGGTAATGGTCACGTGAATTATTTATTTATTTATTTACTTACTTTCTTACTTTATTTATTTATTTATTTATTCATTCATTCATTCATTCATAATCACAGTCTCAAATTACATGTCCAAAACTAGAAGGGGAAAGTTCAGACAAATTTTGTTGGCCTGACTGAACCATTGCTATGAAATCCCAAGTGGTTGCTAAAGTGTTGCTATGTTGTTCCAAGTGGTTGCTAAGGTGTTGCTAGGCCATTACCATGGAATCCCAAGAGGTCACTAAAATGTTGCCTGGCTGTTGTTCTGGAATCCCAGGTGGTTGTTAAGATATTCTTAGGCTGTTTTCTATGGTCTCCCAGGCAGTTGCTAAGATATTGCCTGGCCATTGGTATATTATCCCAGGTGGTTGCTAAGGTGTTGCTATGTTATCCCAAGTTGTTGCTAAGGTGTTGCTAGGCCATTACCATGGAATTCCAGGAGGTCACTAAAGTGTTGCTTGGCTGTTGTTCTGGAATCCCAGGTGGTTGTTAAGGTGTTCTTGGGCTGTTTCCTATGATCTCCCAGGTAGTTGCTAAGATATTGCCTAGCCACTGGTATGTTATCCCAGGTGGTTGCTAAGATGTTGCAAGGCCGTTGCTTATCAATTTGAAATTTCCACCATTTCCCTTGTCACATGTAGGCCTAGTTTTCCTTCATGCCTCTGAAGGTCACCATCACCCTAATACTGAAGTTCTTTTCAGTTCCTGTTTCTCATTTGGGACTCATTAGTGAGCTTAAAATAGACGGTTTTCTTTCCTTGCAAAGTCTTGTTAGTTTCATGTTAATTATTATCTGGTTAGTTTGTATTTTTTGACCTTTGTCTTTACACCACAATTCATTTCCAATGGGAAAAAAAGCATGTTTGAACAAATGCTGTAAACTATACCTGCTATGCACAAGCACACAACTCCCATATACCCCGCTTTGTAAAGCCAGTTTAATTAATTATTGATTAATAATTGTTTTCCTGATTAAAGTAGATTAAATTACCCTTTATGGTGACACTTTATTGTAGGTCAGTGTTCATAAGGTTATGTGACACCTAGATAAGCCCTTCATGATAATGTAAACCTACATAAACATTTATAAATACTTATTCCAACAGGTGTCATTTGTCATAAAGGTTGCATTTGGCAAATTTGAGGTCAAGTTGATGCATCATCTATGTCCGATGAAAACTATGTTTTTCAATTATGAAAACTGACTTTGCAGCTCAGTGCATGTCACAGTGACATAATGCTGACGATGTGGCATGGCTAGCCATGTTAAGCCAGTTACAAAATTCAGTTTTGAGCACTAGCATGCTTTTCTGTAGTACTTGGCAATTTGTCGACATGAAACCTACTGTATAATAGCGTACTGTATATAGTGAAAGCATTGGCGCTGACAGTCATGACACTGTAATGACAGTTATGTATACTTTCTCTGGCCCTAAAGTGAGGTAAAGTGAGGGAAAAACTCTATAACTAGATGGTTCATGAATTTCGCAGTGCTTCAGCACAACCTGTTTGGATGTCTAATATCAGGCCTTTGACTTTAGAAATAACTAGATGACTAAAAAACTTTCCTATTAATCACCTGAAAACAACTTGTTAGCAACTCTCTAAACAAGAGGCATATGTGCTCAGTAAACTTCTATTT